TTTCATTATTATTTATTATTATTACAACGAAGTATGCCAAGTATATAACCTGTGATATTAAAAATGTCCCTGTATGTTTTTTCTCACGTTTCTTTTGCTTTGTTATCTCTGCCTCCTGCATTGTTGAATACAAGTAAGAATGTGTTTGCTTGCTCAAACTATTTTGACCATAACAGATTTTGTCTGCCTGACTTAATCTTGGACCCTTCTTTTCAGATGGTATTTTGGTAAACGGCATTTTCTAAGTCTCATCAAAAGGAGGACCTTAAATCCCATACTGACCAGTGTGTTTCCTCTTCCCTCTCATTTAGTAATGTGATGAATGTCATGATCCTGAGCTGGATTATCTTGGAGATGAGACGTAAAGCTGTGTCAGAGCCCGGTTCCTGGCACTAGAGTAGCACTGAACGAATCCCCATCCTACCAGATTATTAATATATATTGGTCTTGTCAGCAATACACTTGATCATAAGCAGAACTGAACTACACGGAGAAACACCTAAACTTTGACTTTGTCATGCTTACAAAATTAGGTGTTGAACAGGGCACACAACAGAAGCAGCTGATCTTAGTTAAAAAGCATTTGTCATGTTTTTGCAGTAGAGGGAAACTTTATTTTGTTGTTTGTTGATTTTCATATAATAAAATGTGAAAACTATATTTGCATCACAAATGAGTAATCACCAAACGCAGGATTATTACAATGACTAAGCAGCTTCTCCATTGGGTGATTGTGCTTTCCCCTCAAGTCAGTCTCTAGTTCCACCAGTGAATGTGCTATCATCATGATAACCTGCATTTGTATTTGCCTTTTGAATTGTTCATTATTAGAGAGCGGTGACAGCTACAGTAGCTACCACAAAAGAGTGATGGAAGATGGTGAGAATTTTAAGTGATCTTTCCGGCAGTATTTCTGCAGCCCCCATCACCAGACAGGGAGAGGTTGCTCCCCCCCTGCCCTGCAATTACACCCCTCTGCTGCCCTAATGGTGCATTATCATAGCAATACAGAATGGTTTAGGTTGGGAGGGACCTTAAAGATCATCTAGTTCCAACCCCTCTGCCATGGGCAGGGACACCCCCCACTAGACCAGGTTGCTCAAAGCCCCATCCAGCCTGGCCTTGAACACTTCCAGGGATGGGGCATCCACAACTTCTCTGGGCAACCTGTGCCAGTGTCTCACCACCCTCAGAGTAAAGAATTTCCTCCTAATATCTAATCTAAATCTACCCTCTTTCAGTTTAAGACTGTTACGCCTCATCCTGTCGCCACACTCCCTGATAAGGAGTCTCTCCCCAGCTCTCCTGTAGCCCCTTTAGGTACTGGAAGGCCACTATATGGTCTCCCTGGAGTCTTCTTTTCTCCAGGCTGAACAACCCCAACTCTCTGCAAACACGTCTTTATCACCTGGGGCTGCTCCGCCGCAGACAGTACTAGTAAAAGCTCTCAGCCTTTTAAAAAAATTTATTTAATTATCCCATGTTTCGGGTCTATAGATGGCATGACAAACGGCGAACATCAGGCCCACGGTGACCCCGGCAGGAGCTCAGCAGCTGCCCTGTGGCCTCCCCACCACGCCGGCTCCCGCTGGGGGCAGCCTGCCTGCCGCAACCTATCTGCCACCGGAGCCCTGTAGCAGGGCTTACAGCCGCTAACCTTTCCCTTTCACGCTGCTTTTAAACTTTACTCTCGGAAGAGGGAACAGCCCTGCTGAAAGGTCAGCCGGCTGCTTTGCTGTCTGCCTGCGAGGGAGCTGAACGTGGCCATCCCTGCTGCCCTACACCTACCGGGATTAATTTTTTTTAAACCCTAAGAGTTTTGATGAGAAATACATATGATGTATAACATGGCAGTAGTTATAGGAACTAACAAAAAATCACATTACACTTTTGCCTTTTCTCTGTGGTTTTGTATATCGTGTCCAACACCGGTGTTGAACTTTTCCCTGTCCACGTTAAAAAAAGTTCGAAAGTGTGTATGTACAGAAGTGGATTTTTTAAGATAAAAGCCTCTCGATACTACAATGAAGGTGACATAGCGTCTGCCATTTCCAGCAATGTGGGCCGGAGATGGTTTCACACCGGGGCCTGAAGTGGCTGAACCCTGCTGCTAATTGATTAATGTCTGCTGCCATTGTCCCCAGTGCACTGCCCATTCAAAGACTATGTCTTTCTTTGACCTAAATAAATGGTTCAACGCACTAATCCCAACAAAAGGGTTGCTTATGGCCCTAAACCCATTTATGGTGCTCGACTTCATGAATTACCTATTGATTAGTCCTTTTAGTATATTGTTGGCTTTAAGATGAACAAAGCTGAGCTCGGGGCAGCGGGAGTTAATTCACAAGCCAGGTCACATACTCATAAGGTGGGAGTATGACTTGGTCTGATGGGTGCCTGAACTGGAAACCAAACCTCCGACGCTGTCTGTCCTAGTGTAATACGCGGCTTGCAAGTGTTATTTGCTGCCTGCACACAAGAGTGAGTTATTATTCTTTTGCTGTTAGGACACAGGTTTGGGTTACTTGCAGAAGGTTTGCTATCGCTGTCTCTAGAATGGTACTTTGCTCCAACTGTGACTTGCGTGACACGTGTCATTGACAGTATCATTTGCGCACCCACATGAGAGACTTGTACGCATTACTAGAGTTTGTGGATGAGAGCCGGTACGTTTGCCGGGAAGAAGGGAAGCACGGGTCAGGCAGGCTGCAGCATTCCCTGGCCACGGACCTGACGCAGCCTCCGGCTTCCTTCTCCCTCTCGGCAGCATGTTGGGGACTGAGTTGAGCCGCCTTGTGCCAGCCCCTGGGGTTCTGCTGCCAGGGTACACCTCGGGGGAGCACAGCATCCCCGTAGCCCCGGGCAGCTAAGAAATAGCGGGGAAGCACCCCCTGTTTTGAGGTGCAGCTCCAGCTCACCTGTATGAATTTTCTTCTTTCAAAAAAGGATTTTCCGAGCAAATGTTGATGACGTTTATATGGATTCTTAAAAAGTTTTGTACCTCTCTTAAGGTTTTCTAACATAGCTTTGAAATGCGCAGTGCTAGAAAGTAAACAGAAGTAATAAAAATACTGCCCAAACACAATCACTGAAATCTGACTATTGAAAGATACTTAGCTGCCTTCAAGTATTTTGTATCCTAGCAATCAGTAATAGTCCATTTTTCTTCAGCATTCCTCCCGCCCCCTCCAACAGTGGAAGTAAATGGAAAGTATTTGTTCACTAAAAATCGTATAGTTTCTTGATAACCTCTCAAGTGCTCTACAACGGCCCCCGTTTTAAGGGGAGGACATTTTTCTGTGGTTACCTGCTACAGTTAAGCTCATGTAGCTTTGACACTGTTAGTGTGTAACAACAGTAGTTTTAAAACATTACATTATGCTTATTTTATGAAATTAAGAGTACATAAAGCCTAATATATTAATACTTTTTAGAATGGTTACACTTAAAATACTTGCTAAATGTTTGTTGTTTTTTTTTTTTTAATTACAGCGTATACAAACTGGTATCTTAAAAGCATTTAATAATCCAACTACTAAGACAGCAGATGAGGAAACTAGAAGAAAAGTCAAAGGTATGCAACTCTTTATTGAATACTTTTAAAAATGCACAAGTTTTTAAGTACCATTTTCCTCAAAGCTGACTATTGCAAACAGCAATCCTGAAGTACTGTAATTACAAGACTTTTATTATGTATTATTCTAACGCCACCTAGTGCATATCTAAAGGATAGAGAGCTTAGTATGTGCTGACTTGCATCTTTGTATCCAGGATAAAGTCTTCCCCTGAATTAATAATACCTCTTGTAATGATAGGTAGAAATTAATTTTGTTTTCCAAAATAATTTGCTGCATCTTCAGGTTTGTTATATAGCCACAATTACTGTATCACTCAGAGAGGCCACTTTCCATAAATAAAACTGGTTTCTGTCAGCTGCCTGATACTGTGAGCACTCTAAATTTGATTGCAAAGCCAAGATAGGAAGCTGTTTCCAAGGAAGGCTGTTTTGGTTTTTTTTTTCAAAACAAGTGTTTTTTAATTACTTTTTCTGTGTGTGTATTTATGCAAAAGTTCTGATTTAGGGGATTTTGCTTTAATTAACGTCTTAATAATGATTAAGCTGTTTGAAAGTCACCCTTCCAAAATCTGCAACAGTTAAGGCATAGAGATGTATTAGAACAGGCTTCGGTCTCCTTCGGTTTTGTAGTTTCAAACACCATTTAGAAAGGGTGACAACCTGTCTGCTACTCTAGTGTCTATATCAAGGCAATACAATATTATGTATTCAAAAGAAATCTGAGATTTTATTTAAAAGGCTTCTTCTTGAGAGATACAGTATTACTATTCTGTTACAGTAGGTGGGGAATGAAGGATAAAAGGGCACTAAAATATTTTGAAATGTTGAGATAATATGGTATATGTTGTTATTGTATTGTGTTCAAAATGTTTTTAATATGTTTTAAATTGTACTTTCACAATGAATCTTAGAAAGAATTTTGTTGTACTTATAGTGTCGCATTGGATCTGTTATTTTTCACATTTAAAAAAGGCAATGTTTTTTCAGCATATGGAAGAGAGGGTGTGAAGATGAACTTCATAGATAGGATCTTTGTTGGTGAATTGACTAGCACTGTCATGTGTGAGGAATGTGAAAATGTAGGTATTCTGGAATTTGGTTTGATGTGGAATAGATCACATACTGATTTGACAACGTTGTCTTGAAAGTATAAAATTGTATTGCCAATTTTATACTTCTTTGTTTGTTTGTAAAAGCAAGACTTTATTGAAAGTTTCTCATTGAAAATGATTTATTCCTTCTTTAAAGCATTATCCTCCACAAACCTAAGAAGAGGGATCCTTTGAAATCAAAAAGGATTCAAGTCCTGGGCTTGATTTTACATCTTACTTAAGGCTGGAGGTTCCAAATTCTATAATCATCTGTGTTACACGCAATTTTATTTGATATTTTTAAAACACCTACTTATCTTAAAACGTAAATCCTCCTGCCTACTCTTCTGGGATATCCCTGAAAATTGGGAATCACTTACTTTGAATTAGTATGAGTGGGGAAATGCTAAAATTACTTTTTTGTTCTTGAAGTATTTTTGATAATTAACGTTATGACTCTAATGAACAGCATATTCCTTTCATAATTAATATTACTGACATTTCATCATAAATGCTTTCCATGTTCCTTATAATTTTCTTTAACTTTGGAAGAGAAAAATCTTATTTGCATGACTTTTCTAATTGAATGTTACATTTGTGTTTGGTTTAAAAGATTATATTTAATATTATAGAGATTAAGTAAATCAATCAGCCTGAATAATTAAGGACAGTCCTGCAGTGCCAGGTAAAATTCCCTCTGTGTGATGTGCAGATTACACTTCAATGTTCTACTAGCATCAGTGAAGAACTTTGACTATATACGAAATAGAGGTTGTATGTATTTTGCGTGTCTCATTTATTTTTGCTGGATTTTTATATTCTGCCTGCAGAGGACTCGGGGATTTACTAGCTGTAGCCCTTTGAGGAAGAGCTGAGCATTTGCTTTCCTTCGCCTGAGTTGGCAAAGATATTTTTTACTAATGTTCATTCATGCAAACTCACTCTTTAGAGAAACCCCTGTTTGAAGAGCGCTCATCAGGCAGTCAGTCATCATAGTTACAATAGTTTTAATCTCATTTGTTGTTTTACTGGAACCTAACCCCTGCCGAGTCCCTGGCACAACAGGTAAAAATATGTCTACAGTCCCTATCAAATGTCGCAGGTGGAAGACAGGGTCACAGATGTAAGAGAAGGGCAATGGTGACGGTAATTGAGGGTGTGACTGTGTTCAGTAACCTACATGTACAACATGATTTCTATTTCTTTTTTTTTAAAGCCTTGTTTTTCAGTCTTTCCAGAGGTAAGATAAGTCAGTTTCAGAAGGAATTTGATAACGGCAAGGGAGAGAGCTTAAAGAACAGGCTTGGACGAGATGTTCTAGTCATAAAGGCAGATGGAAAGTGCTGAGAGAGGATGTCTTTAGGTACGAGTTGCCAGGTATTTCCAGTTTCAGCTTAGATTTTATATGGCAAAATAAAATTTCAGTACAGAAAAGAAGAATGTTTTGTTTTTTTTTCAGTCCCCCTTTCCTCAGTAAATTGGATTTATTTTAACAATTACTGGTGTATGTTATGGCATGAAAATTTCTAATCAAGCTTTTGGCTGTAACCAGTAAGCCTGACTTAATCTTTTCCGAGAGCATCAGGTTAGAACCTGTCATCTAACTGTCATTAACCAGTCCTTGCTGCATAACTGTGTATGAGGTCAAACGCGGGCGCAGAAGTATTCAGGGAAGAAACTCTACAAGTTAGCTTTCTGCAGAATTGTACCATCTAGAAGGCCCACATGACTTGAAAATCTGTCTGGAGCTCAGAGAAACTGAGCACCGCACTGCTCCTGGGTCCAGTTTGTGCCCAGATGAATGGCTTTGCCCTTCATGTCTGTATGCTGAAATTTTGTGCAGTGTTAGAAAGAAAATCAGAGCTAACTTAAAATTAAAAAAAAAAAAAAAGTTTGTGGGAAGTTCTTCATTGTAGTTTCATACATCTGGTAACTAATTAGCTTTTTGTATAGTTCCCGATAATAATTTGATTTAAAAAAGGGAGCTATGTGCTAAACCCATATATTGTTCTTTGCATTTAATATGCATTTTCTCTTTTTCTTCAAGATTTCAACAGTAAAAGAACCTTTCATTGATCTTTCACTTCCTATAATAGAGGAGAGGGTAAGAAACAGAATATGTACTAAATAACTATTGCTTCCAGTGGATTGTTTTTACATACCTTTATGAAGATGTATATGGATATACATACAGTTTTGATTTCAAGCCTAAAACTGTATGCTTGTCCATAAATATGTGAACGGTCATACATCTGTTCATTATATGATTTTATAAATATATAGATATACAATGTCATAAGTGCATATATTTTTAAATTAGTCCAAACTTGGAACAAATGACCATTGTAATTTGCAGTATATGTAGGTGTGAGATTAGCTTAATTAGCTTAAGTGTATACTTTTATGAATAGAATGATTGTAAGCTTTTTTTTAAAAAAAAAAAGTGCAGAAAGTTAGATTCTAGCCTGTTGGTTTGCATCTAGAGAACCTGAGTCCCTTGAGCTGCTTCATCAGGTCTTAAGGCGGTAGGCTGCACAAGAGACTGACGTATGGGGAGCCAAGTCCCCTATGTCCCCTTTGATAAAGTCACATCTCGTGCAGCTGTGCATGTGTTTATACAGTACTAGAATGGATTACTGGGCATGTATTCTGTACAGGAACTCTGTATCATTCCTATTTCTTGTGGCTCTCTCCTTCAAAGATGTTGACAGTGACAGAGTGTTCATGATAAATAAAATTAGAAAGTAGTCTTATACTGCAATTCAAGGGCCAGTTAATTCGATTTATGTAGGTTACTCTTTTCTAAAGTAAAGGAAAAAAACCCACCTACATTCATCTTTTCTGTAGGTTGCAAAGGAATAAAAAATTGGCATATTTCCTTTCCTAATTTCCTGTCTAATTTCATAGGTTGCAAAACCTGTGCCTTTGGGAAGAACAGGTAAAGGTAAAAGTGTACAAGAGGCAGATCTTGGTCAATATAACTGTTCTTCTATCACTACATTGAATAATCAACCCAAAATTGTCAAGAAACACGCTTTAACAAAAGATAAGGTAAGAACTTAAATACTTGCACTAACCAGTCATCTTGAGTTTATTCTGAATTTCTAGGGTTGCAGGGGTGGGAATTTTGATACCTATCAATGGTAGGTTTTGTATATATATACACATTGACTTATTTCAAAATATTTAGGTCATTATTACAAGTGTGAGAAAGGACAGTTATTGGGAACCACTTAGTTTTCAGTTAACAGGGTTTCTTTTGTGTGGAAAAAAATAATAATCTGCAAGTTGGTTTCAATTGACGTTGCTTTTGGTTTTGTTGACTGCTTTTCTTTTGGTGTCCTCGTAGTTTGCTCCTGGTTGCAATCACAAGAAGTGTCATGCCGGCTCAGAGGGCAGGCAGGTCGGCGTTAGCACCTCTCCAGGGATTAGTTGGTACAACTAATAGTTGTTGTACCACAATTAGTGGGTACAACAAAAATAGTACAGCCAGCAGAGACTCTTGGGGACTGAGAGCACGGTTTCTGTGATCCACTTGGCCGTCAGCAGCCTGAGGGCTGGGGAGCTCGGTTCAGCCCGTCTCCAGTGCAGCCTCCTAATACGGTTCTTCCTAATGGGTTCTGCAAATACGGCAGCCTAACAAAATTGATTTTATGGACGTATTAGTGTTTAGAGATTGAAAGAAATCTGTAATAATTACTGTGCACATGTGTTATTGTTAATGAAATGTGACAAAGGCTCTCATTGTCATTATTGTCATATAATGTCATCATATGTCATATACTGTCATGATTAACGTTCTTTTTTTTAATAAGCCTTATCATCCATATAGGGTTATCTGGCAAATTAGAATCTTAATAATAGTGTTAATACTGATACATAAAACACAATTACTGAAACGTTTTCAAAATTAAGAAAATAAAATATAGTATGGGTTCAATAAACTAGTTTAGACAGACTAAAGGAAGCAACAGCTCTGCTTTCGATAAGAATGGATAAAATGACCTATGAAGTATGTCTGTCTAAGTGGTGAGGCTCTGTGAGTCTCCTCTCCCCCTCCATCTTTTCAGACACGTATTTATCAATATTTTAGTCTCTTTTTTAAAATTATTTTCAGTGTAATATATCTGTTCTTCAGTAAAGCTGCTAATCCAAACCAAACAATTGTGGAATTCAGTCAGTGTTTGTTGATGTTCTGTGACTTCATCAGTTTGTGAGTTTGGTTGTGAAAATGGGGGTGTCCCATGGGTGGTTTTGTAGGCAACAGAGTACCTGAACACTCCTTGTTAGGCTTTTCTCCTGAAATGTGGAGCTTCACAATTTTAATAATTTTTTGACTGCTGTTTGCAGTCAGTATCCCTGAACTCTAGCAGTAATTTCAGACAAGTTCTTCTCCCTCTTCTCTATTTAAAAAGCAAGCAAGCTTAACTGAGACAAGAAATGGTCCTAATGGAAAACAGTTTTGGGGGTTTGTAATGATTTTTATTGGGATTTTATTCTTTCTTTTTTTTTTTGCTAAACTGTTTGCTTGCTTGTAAGTTTAAGGCCTTGAATTACGAAGCCATACATTTAGTGTAGGTTTAGACCCTGTTTAAGAAAATATTCAGGAATATTTTTTTGTCTTTCACATGGTTTCCATTTGCACTTAAGTTCTTGCTTAAATTTTAAAACTGAGTACTCTTCTTGAGCACTCTTCATAAATTGAGTCTATGGTATATATTTAAGGGATAGAGTGAACAAAGTTCAGTGCCTGCAAGTTAGGTGGTTACCTGTAGTGCTTAGCAGTTTGGTACCCATGACCTGGAGTGGGATCCAAAAAAACCCTCTCTACCAAATGAGAAGCTACCTAAAGATAGTAGGAAATACTAAACACAAAGCCATACCTAAAGTTACACCTTCACTGCAGCTTAGGTACACGATCAAGTGTGCAGAAGGGTATTTCCCTCCACTCAGGGTCCCTGTTGTGGAAGCAACCCATGAAATATAGTTTCTGTAGTTTGTTCTGTGAAGGCACTGATGTGAACGTAACTTTTTTGTTTAAAGGTACTTTATTAAACGCCAAGAAGCAGAAGATGCAAGTGCAGGGCTCCTGACGCTCAGAGGGCATTATGAGTCTTATCTTAGGAATGTGCCCAGACTATGGGGATGAGATCGTGGCGATTTTGGATTGTTTTACCTGCTGTCTGAGTCCTACTGAAAGGGCCTGTGCCCTGTTGGGGATCATAAAAACTCCCCTGAATCAGGTCCTAACACACTAAATACACGTGAAGAAAAATATAATAGAATAACCATATAAAGACTGATAAGAGAAAAGAATGAGACAGAAGTAGAAAAAGGACATATGGTAGAAACAAAGGAAAGGATGGAAAGAGGAAGGTGCAGACACTGATTGTTATAGCAGAAAAGACCTAAAACTCAAACTGTTAAGGTGAATGGAAGGATTCCCACTGACATCACTGGAATTTTGATCCAACCCAGATAAAGGAAAAAGGAAAGGGTAAGGAAAGTTGCTCATTTCTTTTAGAAAGAAGCCAAACGAAAGAAGGAACCGAATCATGAACATTTATAAATCGCCTAAAATTATGGTAGCTTTGGGGTTTTTTTTAATCTATAGTTGCAGTTTTCTGTGGCAGCGAAGTTTTTTTTCTTCTTGCGATCTTGATAAAATTAAAAAAAATCAACTTCAGATAATACACAAATTAGCAAACATACTACTAGGGACGTTTTATCTAATTCTAAGACAAGTGCCTACAAGGTGAGTTGAATTTTCTTCTGGAGGTGCTCATCAACTTAGACCTCTGATGGGAGGCTAGGGGACTAGCTTAAACTTGAGAACCTTTTAGAAGCTTAAGTTAGATTAAAGGAATAAGACTTCCAGTGTGCCATCCACATCTGTCACAAAGTGAATGTAATGAGTTGTGCTAAGTATTGATCTCGCGGTAAGTATAATGCTCTTAGCTGACTGGGGTGTAGGTTTCTAATCCTAAATTGGTTTAAAAAGATCTTAAGGAGATCAACTAGCTTAAAGATGGGAGAGATGGAGAATATAAAAGAATAGGTTTAATTTGCTTTGAATTTGTCATGTTACAAAAGCTATGTTAGATCACAGATCAGTTTTCTGTTTCTGCCCTATATTACTGAAATAACAATGCCGTAATTTACAGAATCAGTTGAACCAGGAGAGACGACTTGCCAGGAAAGCTTCCTCTAATGAAGAAGAAAGAAGTCCTGTTATCATGCAGGAAAAAACCAAAAAGCTTGAGCTGGAAGGCAGCTCTGGTGTCCTGTACTCCAAAGATACAACTGCTGACTCTGCTGTAAATGGAAGTCAGACAGATGGCAGTGAGAAGGAAGCCAGCCGCTCTGAAAGCAGCTTTGATGCAGACAGTGAAGCCTCGGAAAGTGAAAGTGCATCTAAGCAAACAGCTTTCAGCCCATCCGGCGACATGTCTGGTTTGCATGTCAGCCACATAAATGCTAAAATGCCACACAACAAACCAAGTGATGGTAATGATGAGATGATTTCCAGTGCCATATCCCAACTCAGCTTCTGTGATACTATGAACGAAGATAAAAAATTGAGCCGTGGGGATACAGCGTTAGGTTTATCGAATAATTCCATGTTCTCAGACAAATCCCCGCTATCCCAAAACCCTCAAAATGCTTTCCAGACGCTTTCCCAAAGCTACATAACTAGCTCAAAGGAATGTTCTGTTCAGTCCTGCCTTTACCAGTTCACCTCTGTAGAGCTCCTGATGGGGAACAACAAGCTTTTATGTGAGAGCTGCACAGAAAGGAAACAGAAGTATCAGAAGAAAACCAACTCCACAGGTAAAGTGCTTGCATCTCTCTGGACACTACAAAACTACCTCTCGAAACCTGTGTCTGTGTGTTCGCTACTTTCTTGTTGCTCCAGCGCGGGCCTCCCCCTTGTGGATAAATAGAAAACATCTCCACAAGTAGAACCTATCAACAACTTCAAACTTCATCCTGCGAGAGCAACAAGACTAAATTTTATATTAGAACATAATTGCAGATGTAACTTAGAATTTATTTTGCATCTTTTCTTTATTTTATCCAAGATAAGTAATTTAAAGATGACCACAAACTGAATAGGCTCGTTGTTTGATACTAATCTTCGCTGCTGTTTCTGTTCTTTACAATCCCAGAACCTTTGAAATAAATGCAGTAATATTCAGCTCTAGCAACTTACATACTCAGAGAAGTCATGTAAGAGAGGCAAAAAAAGACACTTGTAATGAAAAGGGAAGAAAAACTTACAAAGATTTGCAAGAATGGAGATGAGAGAAAACTACCTTCTTGTGACAACGTTTTCCTCGATGTTTGTATAGACCAAGCAGACCATTAGGGTTCCCTGAGTGAGAAAAACAATTTAAACTAATGAAAAATGAACTTTTAAAAAGGACTGGAGGATTTTGTTTAATGTGTAGTAATTCAGAAAGATAAAAAGAATTAAGCTCTTCTGATTATTTGTAAACAAAATATAAAGGGAAGTCTTACAGTAATAAAAAATTGCCTGTGTGCAGTGCATTTATAGATATCTGGAGAGATACAAGTTAAGCATGGGTAAATTCAGAAAAATCAATCTAAAAAACCTATTTTATAATCATTCGTTTATCGTTATTGGACTGAGAGTAAGTGCTATATAAATAATATTTTGGTTCCATGGGCTCAGTGAAAAATGGAAAGGGAAAATCAGTTCATAATTAACATTTTTTTTTTTCCTTCTAAAACAAAAGATGTAAGAAGTCATGCACTTTTACTCAAAATGCCTTAAATGAAATATTTTCCTTTGGATGTGCGTAAAACCAGTAAATGAATTAATTATTCAGTGAACAAAATGCTTTTACTGTAGGGTGAGCCACTGAGCTATTTTTGGTAAGAGCCCCAGATTCAATTCCCTCTGCACCACAGGGGGATCGGAGGCCATTTTTCCCAATGCCGTGTGCTGAAGGCAGCAAACTATGAGGCATCCTCAAGGAGACACCCCCCCATCGGGCCTTTCTCTTAAATAAGCACAAAGTATGGAGTCATTCAGAAAGAACTGAAGAATGTAAAATTAATCTCTATTTTAGTGGTTAGGACATTAGGATAGATGAAGAGACCTGTGCCTTCCTTATCTTGTTCCGGTGATCATCCGTTTATTTCAGGTGAAATGGTTTTATCAGGAAAGTGGGTGCTATAGTAACAGACAATGTAGATATCTCAGCGTGGAAGCTGACCTAGATAGTGTACGTGCTTAAACTTTTGATCTGATTTGCGCAGGACAGGTTAAAATCATGCTCAGATTTGACAGATGATGTTTATTAAAAATGGGAAAGGTGAGAAAATATTTTTCTGTTACTCCACAAAATTTCCCTTGGATTTTATACAACACGTACAAGTTCATTGCAACATAGATCTAGTCTATCAGATGTTTAAAAAATACTTAAATACTGTGTGACTGTCCCACTTTACAAATTATTTTGATATTCATAAATACAGAAAAGAAAACGGACGGTGTCTACACAAATGCTCGGAAACAGCTGCTGATTTCTTCAGTTCCTGCTATTCTTATTCTGCATCTGAAAAGATTCCACCAGGTAAAAGGCCAAAACCCTCTTGTATATTCCTCTCCCTCACTGGTGGACAAGCAGTTCTTCAAGTGTCATTGTGCATATCAATATTTGCTTTTTATATGGAGAACTGGTAGAACCACTATTTGCAACATGCTTCTGTTGGGGTTTTTTTTTATTATCTAATACCTTCAAAAGTGCATTTAGGCAGTATCCAGGGAAACCTCTTACGTGTCCATCATGCTTATGTGTAGCAGGCGCTGTATTGAAAACATAACAAAGAGTGTTTAAATCAGTTACAGTCTTATTCTTGGTTTTGGTTTGGTTTAATAGTAAAGTAATGCACCTTAGCTTTAAAAAGCTTCCTAGTAAAAATACCGATTTTACAGTCTTTTTTTTCTTTTCTTTTGAAGGCTGGTTTGAGTCTACGGAAAGTAAATAGGCATGTGGATTTCCCACTGATTTTAGACTTGGCACCATTTTGTTCCGCATCTTGTAAGGTACTGATTTCAAATCTTTATTTTTATTGTACAGTTGTTGTCCTGAGCACAGGAAATGCTGGATTGATGATGATGATGATGATGATTACTATTCGTTCCTTTCCTAGAGAAATTAGAGTGAATGTTTTCAAATAGTGTCCCGAGATGAGAATTCTAAATAATTGAAATTCCATTGATATCAAGAATATCACAGATGTTAACTAATACTAGTTAAGCTATGGTGCCCTGATGGTGATAGTGTATCTAACAGCATTAAGGACAAGTATTGCTGCTTCCATGGTAACTAATTCAATTAATAGACTGTCAAGTATTTTTAATAGATGTATTTCACCATTGGAAATGCTGTAGATGTCTGTTTGCTTCTTTTGAAGTAATACTGTTGAAAGCTAGTTAAGATATCTGTAAAATTAATTGTGAAATAATTTATCTTTGTTTTCTGTGTACCTGGGAATTCAGAATGTTACGGATGGTGCAAGAGTGCTATACAGTCTTTACGGAATAGTAGAGCACAGTGGGTCAATGAGAGGTGGTCATTATGCGGCGTATGTGAAAGTCAGGACACCCTCCAAGAAATTACTAGAGCATATTTCTACCACTAAAAGTGTTCTGGGTATGTACAAACAGAGCCTCCTTTCTCTGTGAGTAAAACCAAAAGCAACCACTGGCTACAGCTCCTTATCCTGAAGGGAATTTAGAGCAAATAATTGTTTTAGCTCAGAATATTCTGTTATTTTTAGGGTCACATAAATCAGTTTTCTTTTCTGTTACACCCAGTACATGACCTACTTCTGTATTAACCCCACATAAGCTCAGTGAGTAATGGAATTTTGATTCAGTTATTAAACAGAATTGATGGAAAACTCTTCTCTCTTTCCTAGTCAAAATAATATGTCCAGATAAACAGTTGTGCTTGGTAAAATGTAATTATTTGGCATATTTAGTATTTGAAAATGTTCTTGAACAAGAGCCGAATCCATGACAATTTAAACTAAATTTTCCATATATTTGAGCATTTTACCTATCTTAGCATTAGAGATTTTTTAATGCTTAGAAATCTGGAATACTCTGGTTTAATGGAAAGAGCAAGAAACTTTTTCATGGAGGATACAAGGTTTGCTGTAGGGTTTCTGTTGGTATTTTGAGAACAGCACACTAATTCTTATTAGTATGTTTTGGATATGTGGAATGAAATAAGATTCTAGGACAGAATCTGTTAGTGAATGATTTTTGGAGGCAGGAATGTTGAGCTGTCAGAGTAAGATAAATATATTTACTGTTTCACTTCATGGGAGGAGTGCGAACCAAGCAATATCCTATCTATCCTGTGTAGTATCACTTTGCATTTGAAGCTCGTTTCCCAGAAGGACAATTTTTTATATTATTTTTGAAACGGAAGCCACCCTCAGCCTTTTGCTTCCCTTGCAGTGATTGTTAAAACAGATTAGATCTTTTTGTGTTTTTCATTTCATACTGGTCAGCTTTTGAAATACGATTTTTTTTCTATGTCAGAACTGGTGGTGTGCTAGTATAACTTACTGCTAGAACTCAGTAAGCTGTACTTGAAACGTCTTAGGCTTTTTGAAGAACTATGAAAAAAGAAATGGCAGTGCACCTTTGTAAGCATTGTCTACCACCAGTTTCTCTTACAGTACTCTTTGACATGTAAGTGTCAAACTACAAATACTGGACTGCGTCTAATTCATGAGTTATTCTTGTGGGTTAGAAGCTTCTCTTGCTTTTTTAAATGCCCACTGTATTTATTTGATGATGATGTGAAAGACAAAAACCAACTTCTTTTGCTTTTGCATTTCAGGTTTAAAAGAAGCCATGGGAGCATCAGGAGGACAGTGGGTGTATGTTAGTGATGCCCATGTTCAGATGGTTCCAGAATCAAGAGTACTAAATGCACAAGCATATCTACTTTTTTATGAAAGACTATTACTATAATTTTCAACAGTTTAATTTAAAAGACAGTAGTGGTTATTTAGTTTATCTTATTTAAAGCTGCAGTGGTAAGAGTACCTGTAAATATTGTGCCTTTATCTTGTAGAGAATTTATCATATGTTGACTCTGAAGTTCAGTCACGCTATTATAAATATCTGAATGGTTCTCTTAAAGTATGCACTTTGCCAAACATTTAAAATCCCTGGATTCATTAAAATACAGTACCGTTAGAATGTAAGATGATGTCCTATCCTACTGAAGTCTATGGAAAGTTTGTTCTTGATTTTAATAAGCTTTCACCCATAGTTCTAGAACAATTGAGAATAAAAATACTGATAGCATTAAGTGCCTGGATTTGCTGGTGTACAGTAACAATATAAAGTATTTCAACTTTTTGTGATCTAGTCCAGATCCTTCCCGTCACTGGGTTGGATGTCAGCTGTTAAGACTTTTGCAGACAAGAACCTGTCTAATTGTGTCGCTTCCACATGTAGTATTTGGGAAGCACAGTGCTTCCAGAATGGAGTAACAACAGCTGTCTCTGGGTAATGCTGCTGTGCACTCTCCTGATAAAGCGGGGAATAGACTGGGAGAACACGGCTTCTACAAAGTGACAGTGAATCCTCAGATACCCAGAACGCTGTCAGCTGTCTCCTCCTGGCAGTGGCATAGCAATGTACTCCTGTTTTAATATAAATATATACTTGGTGTGCTTACGTATATCCTCTGAGATATATATATATATATGCGCACACCATAAATCCATCAATCTGTATTGTCATTTTGCCTACTAGGAAAGAGAATTGCAAATACTTCTGTATGTAGTAAATTTTCAACTTCATAATTATGACAATGTACAGCTATATAAGCTTGTGTATGAATATGTATGGGGTTCAAGTGTAACTGGGTAATTCTGTTACTTTTGGTTCTAAACATGAATTTGTTTATCTGTTCCTGAATAATTTTCTCACAGGAGTAATAAACTATAAATTATTTTTGCACTGTGTGTGTGAGTTGGACAGTAAGTGGTGATTTTTGCCCTGATACATGTCTGGACTTCCCTTTGTCATCAGTGGAGGACAGCACGTGTCCTACCGGCAGAACTTGCTTCTGTATCCAGTTTGACTGCACCCTTTTGAGTTGCTACTTCTTTTGGTAATTCTGATTTCCAACCCAGATAGTAATAGATATGTTTTAACGTCAAAATATGATGACAGCTTTGAACCTATGTGGAAATTAATTTCCTTAATAAGCAGTTACTTAAATAGAAATTAGTTCTGTAACAGTTTCATCCTGTCCAACTTGCTCTTTGGTAGAAAAAAGACTATGTTTATTTCTGTTTACTATTTTCATTTATGGAAATGTTTTTTGGTGAAAAAACATGCTGTCCCGACTACTGTCTCTACCATGTGTTGTCCTACCTACTTGTACAATGTTCCTATTCTCTAGCTCTGTTTCAGAGCTTCATCTTGCCTCCAGTCACTCTTTTGCGTAAGAAAATAGCAAAACGTGCCATAGTTGCATTTGCTGAAACTGCTGAGGTGTTTTATAGCCATATTGCTTGTACATAGTTGTACAGGCACTAGGGATTGTTAGGCCATACAGCTGATTGCTGTAACAGAGTAAGCCCCTGGTCACACAGGATTTTATTTTCCAAAGGAAAACTCCTCTGTTCAGGTCAAAATTAGGCTGTGCATTTTGGCCAACACAATCATTTTTTCCCTCCACAGATTAAAATTGTCTCAGTCTACCCCAAAATAGTAAAACTCAGAGAAACCAAGCAGTCAGCTTTAGCCATCTGTATTTCAACTAAACATATCTTAACCTAAGTCTACACTAAGAAAGAAAGAAAAAAAAAAATCATGTTTAGACTAGAGTTGGTTAAAATATGTTAATTCTTTTTTACCTCCTTATCTTCCCATACCCTTCATCCACCTTCACACACCTTCCCCCTCTTTGTATACAGCTGGTCAAAACTCAAAATTAGTTCTGGGCAAGAATCACACCAAATACCAACTAAGTTTCACTTCTGTGACACAGTCTTGCTAGGAGACCACAGATGGAGCGTATTTGATCCACCTCAAAGCAGACAGACTGACTAGATGAGGCCTGAAGTTCCTAGTTTTGCTGACTTCTGGAGAACTACTGAAGTACCTACATTAATCTCCTACTTTTTAGTCTTGAACTACCTCCATAGAGTACCCCCACCTCCTCGCCTCCCTAGGAGAGAAACAGGACAAGGTTCTTAACCTATATTTTCTTATTTTAATGCTGTTTTCAGGAAACTCTTGAGATGGTCTTCACTTCTCTTTAACCAGAGTTCACACATTGTTTGGACCACTGAAATCTTCCCAAGTGACCATACTGACCAGGATGCCGTGAAAGGTGCTAGCAGGATTATTTCCTCATTAACAGCCAGGGAACATTTCCCTGCTATTAAGGTATTTTGTAGACTATGGAGAGAAAATGGCATGGGAAAAAGCTAACACCTTTATCCAAAATAGCCATCACTATTGCTCCTGGGTGAGGCTTCCTGAGCTGAAATAAAAGGCAGTGTTGGCAGCAGCTCCAGTAAGTTCAGAGTGAGGAACAGGTATGAAAATATTAGAGAAAGCAACACACTCTAAAAATGCAGGCAACAGGTGAAGTTATGGCTTTAAAATGAAGAATTGATGACTAATCTGAGATGTCATACACAATTTTTGATGCAAGTCACACTTAGTGTGTCATTCAAGACATAGGTTGGCTGTTTTGTTTTGGGTTTGGTTTTGGGTTTTTTTGTGTGTGACAAAATTTGGCTCCAAAGCAAGTGATTGTACATAAATATACATACTGAAGACCTGTTAAAATAGTTCCTTATCAGAAATTACATGAGAAGGTCACAGCGCTCCTGGAAAACAGGGATGTTCATCCTCTATTTGCTAAAATGGTAAACATGATTCTAGAGGCTATTTGCAGAGTCTAGGAACTCGTAGTTTCCCGATGTATGCACACTACTGAAAAGCTCTGGGTTTACGGAATATAACTGAAGGGCTCTAAAGTTTAAGACTCTCCTTAAAATATGTTCTGTTACGAGACAAAAAAAGTCTTTTCAGGCCTACAGCATCTACTCTTCATACAGCTACACCACACTTTGTTGTTTGGGTTTTTTTGTTCTTTTTTGGGGGAATAGGGGTTGTTTTGCCTTTTTTTTTTTTTCCTCCCCTGAGAGAAACTGCAGTAGCCTGCCTGCTTCTTCATTTGGAATAGCTTAGCAACATCTTGGTTCCACCCTTCTCACAAGGGCACCACTGTTTTCTTCATCAGCCTCATCTGTTCTTTATGTTTTCCAGGTCTCCATAAGCCTCTGTCAATGCCTTTTCTTTCATTGATCCTTAACCATAACATCACGTTTCCCAGTCCCAACACTTGCATTCCACAAACTAGCAAAACTGTTAGTGGAAGAGCTAGTGTAACTACGGTCTTGCCTCTCCCTACCACCCCACGGTCTCTACCTACAGGTGGCAACACAGGCGTCTGAGAAAAACTGATTCCCGAGCAGCTCTCTGCTGACCACTCACAAGACAGTGCCTTTAAAACAGTGAGAAAGAAAGCAAATAGTTCCTCACTCTTCAGTAAGTAAACCTAATTTATGAGGAGTCCTTGATTTGCATATGGACAACTGGAACACCCTACAAAGGTTTCCCCAGAGCGGAGATGTAAAGAAAGATGGCTGTATCACCTAAGGAGTTAGTACAGATTATAGAGTCTTTCTCCTCAGATCTTTACATTTATATACCATTTATGCTAAATATGGCAAAAAGTGATGGGGAGAAGATTTATTATACTAACCTGTCTACACCGATACCTGTACGGACATCCTGTTTGTATAAGTCTGCTCTCCTAAGGAAGGGGTATAAATACTTAGTGGTGAAGGAAAAACAAAATAAAAAACAACCCTGAACTTCTCTGCCCTAAATGTACCCACTGTAACTGTCTTTGTTTAGAAAATGAAATCAATGCAGTCTGCCAAACCTTCCTACCCTATTCCCATCTGCACCTTCTGTGCGTATCAATGAAGTGCTCTTGCTTATGGATTTCAAGTGGTAGCAGGTGAGAGTGGTTTATAAATTCATTAAAAGGATGAAATGTCTTAACTTCACCATTTGCTTCTCTTTGGACTTCTTTTTTATACTAACACAATCAATCATAAAGGGACATGAAATTAATGCATCTTTGTTCTCAAACCACTATAAAAATCTTACTTGAACATATTAGTAACAAACTAAGATTTCAAAAGGAATAATTTCTTGAGGAGCAACTTTAAGATTTATTAAAATGGGAACAAAGAAAGCATTTGAATACAAGTCTTATGTTAGCATAAATTAGCAGATCCAATTTTAATTAAAAAGTGGTAGCATACTTTACAAAACAGCTTCACAGCAGCCCTGATAAAACAAAAATTTTATATTCCTCAGTTTTCATCAGCTGGAAACTTTTTTGCTGTGCCCTGTACACATGCATTTTTACAAAGATTTACACATTTACATGAAAGAGATGCCACTCATTGTAGAACCACATCAGTCTAATTATTTTAGAATGGATTATTTTTGCTTCTGTATGTATTTACTGTGTCTTAGGGTGTCATTTTGCCAGCTCTTTTAGCTGTCTGTACCTCTCCTGTTGGTGTATAAACTGCAGAAACAGTGGTAAATTATTCAAAATCACTCAAAATCTATTTCTTTGGTAAAAGTTTGATAGGTATTATAAAATATATTTTCAGACAGAAGTCTGTTAGTATAAGTCAAAACACTTCCTTTGCACAACTTTATATAAAAAGTCTAACTGAATTTATTTGTTATAATAAAACAACTGCAATGCATTCTAATTTAAGACTACTTGGTCTACATTCCATTTATAAAAAGCTGTAAGTACTTCTGTCTTCATTGATATTAGCAGAAAAATTGTTTTTTAAAGTGTCAAGAATGTTTCTTACATCTATTGCAGCTTCCAATATTTTTCTAGTACAAAATACAAAGGTGCAGTACTGCTTTTAAAAGAGAACAGAAAAGCATTTATTTTGAGTAGGTTTATGACTTTCTTAACACTTACCTCATTGCTTTGCTAGGTTAGTTTTTTGGGTTTGAGCTCTGTAACCTGGGGATCATTACAGCGAACTCTGTAATGAAACCACCATGTCAATAGCAGCCATTCCTTATTTAGCCATTTCACAAAGTTGAGTTCTGATTCTGCTGTCATTTATGCATGGGGATAATCCCCGATATGTTCATATGTGCTTGCACTTATACAAAACACAATCCCAGTAATCAAAAAAACCCCATTCCTAAGCCCAAAATACTTGCAAGCAATATAACAAGCATGTTAAAAGTTTCATCTTGTTTTCATTCATTTACTGTTTTCATCTGTTTGAACTAATAGCCTAACTCTACTCTGCAGGTATTTAAATAACAAATATTTTTAGAATTTTACTACAGTACTGGTACATTGTAGGCTTTATTTGTAGATTTCTGGTTCTGTTTACTAAGTAAATAGGGCCTTAAACACAGACTGTATTTAAAAAACAAACAAAAGTCTGATCAGTTTTCCAATCTATCCTAGCTGCCAGTTTCTCAGAATAAAGCCACCATTTATCTTCTATTCATTTTGTCTTTACAGCTATGGTACATACTATTTGATAAATTTATAAATAAAACATCCAACCATTTGGAAAACTATGTTGTTTAAATATAAGCTGTATGCTGTACAATTGAGTTCACAAAGCTTTTATTTTTTTCCTAACTAAAGAGAGAACATTTTTTCCGTTCGTCTTGTGTCACAACTTCACTGCACTTGGGAGAGCTACCCAGAGATGAGTCCATACCCTTGAACAATTAAGCTACACCACTTGTGTCCCCCTGCCTTACCATCCATGGCATAGGTCACAGAATAAGAGAGAGTTTGTTCCCTTTACAAGAACAGAGATTTGTAATTCTGTGGTAAGAACAGGACAGAAGAT